GTTATACTCTCACGTAGGCTACAGCTCTATCTGTTAGCAATAGTCCGGTAATTTGTACTGGTGCAACAAAGGTCGAAACCTTACAAATCCTTACGGAGCAAGGAACTTTCGTGCAGATTTCTTCTAAAATTACGAACTATGCAGACTTTGCAGTGCTTTTATTCCCTTATAGGCGTATATAGCTGCAATTGAGCTAATTAATAGAATACCTGTAACGAGTTCCAGTAAAATGTAAAGTGGTTGTTCGTCTACTGCAACACCATAGATACGTACAATATTATTATGCTTGAAATTACGCATCAACCGAGCCTCTTTCATCATTTCTTTGATTTTGGCTTTGCAGAGATCTGAGGATCCTTTTGTCTAAATGGTAAATTAAGATTTATATTGCAAGGGAGCAAACGACAGTATTACAAATTTTCGTTTAATTGCTCGTAGCTAATAACGTGGACAGAACCTATTGCTGATTACGAAAATCTAAAGCTAAATGTCCACAACTTGCTTTTTTTACATTTTCGTGCTTTTTTAGCCTACTCGTACTCGTATGCAAACGGTTAAACGATAGGAAGTATCTTACCAGTTTAATAGCTACTTCAACATCTTCTCCGCTTTTTAAATGCAACTTTCCAGCACGAACTTCACCAAATGCGCCATGTCCGAGTATATCACCTTGTTTCACGTCTGAGTGAAGATACTCCCAAGGTTGCAGCTTGATTGGATTTTTCAAGGCAAAAGTAAACTGAAAGTGTAATTGTTTAGAAAAGGATTAAACAATAAGATTCTGACAATGTGCTGCGATTTTATTAATATGTGCAATATAATTTAAAGTATATAAGTGAAGGTTATCTAGAGTGTATTAAGATTTGTGTCACAAACATCACCAAAACTACGCTAAAATTTTAACAATTGATGCCTTCCCTAATTATCAGTCGTCAAATGTGCTTGGTTACACAGATTTGTTCTTCACTTGTATTGCATTCGGCCTCCAGACCTTAGTGGGGTCTAAGGCAACAGTCATACAGTTCAAGTTTAAAGTCCTGATAATGAGTCGAGTCATTTCGGTCTCTGACCAGTTCAAGGAAGACCATCAAGGGCAGGCCTCGGCACGAGGTCTCCGATTGGTCTCGAGAACGAATCCCCGCTTGAAATTCCAAGAAATCACAAAGCTCTCTTTGTAACCTGTACAGACACGTGCAATCAGGACACGTATTACAGTGCGATATACTTGGAGCGCGTTTCCTTCATTAAGGTAGTACGATTTAGGGCCCTAGCAAGGAAGGGAGGAAATGCTTTGATCTGGTTATTGCA